ATATGGCAAAGGCAAACCATTTGCCACGTGTTTTCTGCCTCTATCTCTAGGCACTAGTCAGCTTCTTTGAATCAGAATTACACCACTGATATTTCCCATCACCAGTGGATGAACTCTTTACAACTGAGGCTAAGGCACAGCAATAATGAAGGCTTCATACTGCAGAATCTAAAAAGGCCAGCAAACCGCTCTGTCTTCGTTTTCATGGCCTTTAAAACTTATCTTTTTGTTTGGTGTTTCTGAAGCAGTAAGGCAGTTTGGTCTGCTCACTCTCAGGTCTACTCTAACATCTGTGATTTGGCTTCTGCTCTTACTGGGCTTCTGGTGAATAGTAACACCACTAACTATTACTACCCAATTCATCAGTATCTGGGTAACTCTTTTGTAATGCTTGTCTTCACTGAGTGATTTACTTCTTCCAGAATTTTTAAAACCTTATAAAACCTTTCATTAATCCTGTTCCTTCACACAAGAAGCAACACCATGTTCAGTGGGACTCTGTGAGAAGGAAGACTTGCTTTGCTCTTCAGACTTCCTGTAGCCTATATACAAACTGTAGTGGTGTACAAACTGGTCATCGGCAGAGCTCTACAGCTACCGAACTCCATTACTGGTTTGAGCAATAAAAAGATTTGGAAGCAACTTGAATTTGGAAATAATTTGAGCTGATGTCATTTTGCATCTATTTTATAAATAGAAAACACACCCAGGTCCAGAACTTCTAAAGTGACTAGAGAGTTTGTGCATGTGAAATTGCAGGTGGGCAACATTAGGCATTCTAGAGACCTGGGAGAGACTTTCCTCCAGAGTATTTTTTTTTTTTAAATACATTTCTTTGGACTGTTTCAAATTTGGGCCTTAAAAGTCTAAGTAATTTTGAAATCATTGTACACAGTCCATTAAAAATATGGCAAGTAAATGAAAAGTCCGAAAGGAGCTTTTCTACATATTCATGTTTAAGAATTCTCATCTTTAAGAAGAATAAAATGACCAAAACAGAAGAGTTTTACTTTACCTTCTACTGGTATGTGAAAATACATTCTTTGGTTTATCCTGATTTTGCCAGCTACATTCTGATGAAAGACAGAAGTAAATCTACCAGCTGTAGCAGAAGAGAGATCACTTTAAAAGTCAGATTTTAATCTGTAAACCTTTCATAGCAAATAACCCTGCCAAAATCTAAAAGTCTAGTTTATTGGAAAGTATCAGTATTGATTAGCATAGTGATTTTGAAAAGACAGACCAAACGAAAAAAAACACAGCTGAACCAAGTACATCATATTTTGAAGTGTAAACATTTTATAGTAGTTCATGAAGAATGTAATTAAGCACCGAACTGGAATAATACTGAAACAGTTCTCATACCTTCCCAACATCATTACTTACTCTTGCCAAATGAAGCTGTGTGTTTTCTAAGCTCAGAAAGTATACCTGAAAACTCATCTGCCTTTCTCCCTCTTAAAAACTCTGGAAAATGAAAAAAAGAAAGAAAAAAAGACTCAGGATTCCACTTTGGTTCTTTAGTGCTGGTTTCTGCCCTTTACAAGCCTCCTGCCACTACTATGCATATTATAAAATCATTATTGCCTTATTTTTACATCCAGAAAAACTAGTACATTCAGCCTGACAGCAAACATAGGTGTTCAGGAAAAGCAGAAATGAGCCATTATTTACTCTCTAGTCCTTGGAGGACAGATCTGTGAACTTTTTCTCTGAAAGCTGTTTTCTTCAGATATATTTAGCAAAAGGAAGTTTAAGGAACTAGCACTAGAAGCAATTTCACCATTACATCTTCACACTGATCTGCAACAATCTTACTGCCTCGCAGACAGTAACTAGTGATCATGCAAAGACCACAGTGACCAATACAGGAAAAATGTTGGCTATCATTTCTTGTTATTTTACTGCAGTAACATTTTTGCTGCTCCAACAGAGATCTGTCTTGGCACAATATATGCACTTAACAAGGCTCTACACTGAAGAACCTACACTCCAAATAAGCAAGACTGAATGATAAGTAGGGAGAGGATGACTAGGAAAAAGATGAAACACAGGGGTAAAGTGACTTGTCCCGAGTAGATCAATTACAGAGAAAGAAGCTCAACCTCCTTCATTCAATACTGGTCCAGCATCTTACCCACCAAATCAGTCGAGGGACTCCCAACACCAGAGACGCAAACAAGATTAAGTTTATTTCAACATGCCAGCAAAGTTTAAGCAATATGCAGCTTGAGCAATATGTAGCCTGAATATGAACACTGTTAGAATTATTTTTGTTTATGAAAACCAGTGTACAATATATCCAAGCTACTTTGGTGTAATACTGAGTAAAATACAGTATAAGGCAATATGATGATCCACACCTATAGATAGATTTAGCCTTCATATCTATGTACTTTTTTTGCACTCCCACAAACAGAACACCTTTATCAATGGCAGCTCATATACTCAGATGTCTTCTTACAAGCTTAAGTGATTATTGTTCAGAAAAATAACTATAAAAATAATAAAGGCTTCTTATGAATTATCTTTCTTGCTGCCCTGTTAACAGTCTTTAAAAATAAAATGTAGAATTTTTATTTCCTCTTATGGGAACTAGGGTCTGAGAATTGAACTAGACTATCTTTTGTTCTTACTATCACCGGTAACGAAAGACTGAGCTTTGCAGAGGACACAGAGCACAAAGTAAAACCTAGATCAATTTCTCTCTGCCTGTACTGACTGTGCAGCACCAAGTAGTAAAAATTTAATAGTTCCGTATGGAAATTTAAGTCAATGACATCCAAAGGAGACAAGATGCTGACTAAGGTGTCATTTCTTTTTCTTTCTTTCTCTTCACAGGATTGCCATAAAATTATTTTGCTGGTTACTTCATGGGTAACTAAGCTTTGGTAATGGTCAGACAGTCCTGAATTCCTGAGAAATATTTTCAGGCAGATGTCTTGCTACTAAACAGCTAAAAAAAAAAACAAAATACAAAAGTCAAGGTCACAGGCCTTGATTCTTTAGAACATTTAACTAAAAGCTTGAAGCATGATTTGCCTACTGATACTAGAGAACACTAATGCATTTGGAATGAGGCATATGTTTTAGCACTTTGCTGAACTGAGCTGAGCAGTGGATAGTCTTCCTCACGGTATGAAAGAAATACTTATTTTCTAACAGTTTATTCACTTAAAAGGAGCATTTCAAGAAAGAAGAAAAATGTACACTTCTTACTGAAGTTCCCCTACTATTATAACTTACTACTCCTGTCATCTAAAATGGGTCACAACTGAACATCTCTCAGGCATATTTTGGTTTAGTACTGTATATTCTAAAATATTTCTTACACACTCCCAATGCTTCTTAACAGAACAACACATATTAAAATGTTTCTTGGAAAATGGCGAAAATTGGGAGAACAGTTTCAGATGTTTAACTTGACATATAGTTAAGTTAAAAGTATGCACTTGCTCGTTCTTTTTCTCAGAAAAAAAAGCATTTAAGTCCCTCACAGGTTGCAATGCTAAGGCAAGTGATCAAGACTGTCACTCTATTTTAGTCTTCTCTTTCTTTACTACTGTATCTTTTCACTGGATGTATACTCTCTGTCATAGAAGATATCCCTACAAACTGAATAATGCTAAAGACTCTCCTTTTCACCGGACTCTGATGAAGTTAACCCAGGAAAGCAGTGACTGGCAGTTAGCATAAATGGGATTAGAATGTCTGATTTCAGTTGGATGATAACTACACATCATTTGAAGAGCTAACATAAGTGTGCTATGTTAAATAAAAACTGAAGTTAAAAAGGGGGATCTTCACCTATGTCATTATGGAAAAGGGATGTACAAGATATGTTTACTCATAACAGAAAATATACCCAGTTTTAACAGTACTCCATCTTAGAACATGTGTTTTGCTTGATTAGCTCAGAGCACAAGTACAAGTGGGCAAGACTTCCTTTTGTTGAGACAGGGTGGGATATGAAGAAGTTAAGAGACGTGTCAAGGTCACACCACAAGAAGGTGACAAAGTTACACAGTAAGTCACTACTGATTCCCAGCTCTGCTGTAACAATAAAACTACAGAGACTGCAATACAATGCCTCTCAAAGGGTTCTGTGCTACGAAATGATACACAAACAAGAAGAAACATCACACTTTCCAGTACTAACATGTCTAAGGAATACTTTGAACAAGAGACAAGTCAAACCATAAAGTCTCAACCTTAAAGGAGGTAAGGCTGTAAAACAAGTACTAAGAAATCTTGTTTAACTCACACACTTGCTTAGTCCCATCCATAATATCATTAATTAAGGCTGGGGGAAATAACTGAGAGCTAAAGGAACACTGAATAGAGGCCGGAGGATCACGCAGGTTTTATTTGCTTGCTTTCCTCCTCGGTCACAAAACACGATACTAGTATGAATACGCTTCACAAAAAGCAAAAAAAAAAAAAAAAAAAAATCGGGCAAATAGATAACCCCGAAGACTCAGAGGGGTCCCGTTGTCATGGAAACAAGTCACCGCTAATGAGCTTTCCGGGACATGAGTGATTAATACCCGAGCCCTGTAAATAAATATTGATTCAAAACCTAAACACACACATAGCAAACCCACTGCCAGCAGCCCAGATAACGGGCAAACAAACAAGACAGCCATCCCCCAGCTTGCGCTCTCCGGCGGGTGCCCGAGCCGCGCTGTTTACATCCCGCCCGGGCTGGCTCCCCTGCCCAGCGGGAGCCACCCAAACTTTCCGAGAGGCGACCAGCCGCCGCGCCGCGACGGGGAAGGGCGGCGGCCGCCCAGACCAACCCGGGCCGGGGCCGGGGCCGGGGCCCCCGCTCCCGGGAACCTGCCCCCGGGATCCGGGCCAGGGCGCCTGCAGGTCTCCGCTTAGGCAGCGCCCGGGAGCGAACAGAGAAGCGCGATGCGCGGCGCGACCCCCACCCCGCACCCCCACGCCCCCCCCCCCCCCCCAACTCCCCACGGGCCCCCTACGAATCAACCCCTAACCTTGCGCGAAAAGTCGCTCTCGGGGCACGGCCACTTTTCCCAACAGTTGCACGGCGAAGCCCCCGAGGAAAACTCGCCGCCGACGCGGGCCCGGGGCCAGCAGCGGTGCCCGGGGCAGCGGCACCGCCGGCCTGAGGCAGCGGGGTGCGGGGCTTCAGCCCACGAACCGGAGGACGAGGCGCCGGTGCTCAGGAGCCACCGCCTCCTCTTTCTCCATCTCCCCGCTCTGCGGCTCCCGCGGCTCCCTCGTCCCCGCCTGTCCCCTCCTGTCCCCGCCTGCTTCTCCACCTTCTCCGTTCCTCCCCCCCGCCTCCGCTCCAACCAGCTGCTCTCCCTCCACCTGGGGCCGGCTCGCCAGGTGCCTCCCTACTCCCACGCGTGTCCGCTCTACAACAAATGAAGCGCAGGAGCGGTCGCGCCGCCTCTCCCCGCGCCGGTACCGCTGTCCCGCACGCAAACTTCCCGCCCCGCCGGGCACCCAACGCTCCGTTCTCTCTGCCGCGGGGTGCGGAGCGGGCGGCTCGGCTCGGCGGTGGATGCCGGAGCCCGGAGCCCTGCCCCGGCTCGGGGCTGGGAAGGGCAGGGCAGGGCAGAGCCGCGCGGAGCCGGCCGCTCACCTCAGGAAAGCCGGGCGGCCGCGTCCTCCGGGGGTGGGGGGGGTAGAGGCAACGCCGGCGGCAGCCGCGGCATCACCGACGGAGGTGAAAGCTAACGGGTGCGCACCCCTTGCCCCCCACCTCCTCCTCCTCCTGCGGGGCTCGCTGAGGAGGGACGCGCTGCCGGCGCTGGCCGGGCCGCCTCTGCGGCTCGCTGGGGCGGCTTCCCCCCCCCCCCCCGCCCCGGTTGCCGGAGGGAGCGCGCTGAGGCCGGGGAGGGTGGGAAGGAACGGAATAAGCGGCTCCGGGGCGAGCGGTGCCGCTCCCCGGTGCCCGCAGGGCGGCTTCCCCCAGTGAAGTTGGTCTCTGTCACCAGCGCCCGGGCGGCTCAGCCCCTCGCAGCGGGGCCGGGAGGCGAGTGCGCGGCGGCTTCTCCCCCCGCCCGGGCCGGGCAGCAGAGACCCGAGGCGCCCCCTCCCCCCCCCCCCCCCCCGCTCATTACGAGGGCGCCGGGGATTAAGGGTGCTTTCAGTTTTAAGAGCATTACGTTAATAAATAGTGTTTCGGCGATTTAAAATTACTCTGGGAGCGTTCAGCAGCCATCCCCTCCGGGGACCTTTTAATCGGGGGGATCAAAGCCGGGGCGGCGCGGCGTGCCCGCCCGGCGGCCCGCAGAGCCCCGGCGGGAAATCCGCCCGCCTCGCCTTCCCTCAGGAACCGCACTACGACAGAGCGGGCCAGGCGTCCGAGGCCCTGCCCCGCTGCACCTGTCCGTCCGTCCGTCCGTCCGTCCCGGCGTGAGCGAGGACGCGGCGGCTGTGGTGAAGGCCCGTGCGCGTTTGCACAGGTGCCCACGAGCGGCCGTGGGCGCTGGCAGGCGCGGCGCGGCGAGGCTGCGTGGAGGCAGCGGCACAGCATCTCCTAGGAGCGGCGTGTGACGCCAGGCCCAGCGGCTGGCGAGCCCCGGTACCGGCCCCAAGATCCCGGCCCGGTACCGGCGGCCGAGTTCCAGCCGTGCGTCCCGCTGGGAACCGAAACCGCCGCGGCCAGGCGGGGGCTGTGCGCTCGGCGGCAGTCCGCGGCGAATTGCAGCGGGCGAAGCCTGTTTGTTGTTGTGGTTTGGGTGGGGTTTTTTTGTGTGTTTTTTGTGTGTGTTCCCCCCCCCCCGCCCCGGCCTAACGCACCAGGGGAGCAACACGAGCCCTCCCGGCTCCGCAGCGACGGGCGATTGGAAATCACCGCTGCGCGCCCCGCCGCTGCACAGCCTGCCCCCCCACACCCCACCCCACGCCACGCCACCCCACGCCCCCCCCACACCCCACCCCACGCCCCCCCCACACCCCACCCCACGCCCCCCCCACCCCCGCCAAGACAAAGACCAAAGCAACTCTGAGAGAGGGGGGCGCACGCTGATCTACCGTCCCGCTTCCCTAAAAATGGCTAAAGCTGCCCCTTCCCCCTCCCGTGCCACAGCTCCATAGCCCAACAGGTGGTCGTGACTGCAGAGAAAGGGGCTGCTCTAAACCAGCACCTGTAAATTCTCTCACATGGATTCAAATTATAATAAAAACTATTTTTCATTTACATTTTAATGCGTAAATCGTGCAAAACGGGGAGCTCCACAGACACTGTTGCAAGAGTGATGACTCATGCCCACCACATGGACGTTATTTACTGTTTGGGGATGGAGCTATGTTTAAATTAGTCTGCTTGATAAGGTAATCTGAATGTTCTAAACCGCTTCCCTGTAATTATGATCTGTAGGAAGTAAAGCATCATGTCTCAACCCTACCCTCTCTCCCTGACGTGTTTTAATTCATAGTCTTGTGTGAAACGACATGTTTTGAATATTCAAGCAGGTGAAGTGCACTTTCCTCACAGGTACTGCACATGGGAAGGAGGGATCGCAGATGTACTTCTCAGATCAGGCAAGAATATAAGATATGACTTTCTTCAGATTAGCAAATTTAGTCAGTTTAAAAATTGTCAGCTGAACTATTTCAAAGAGAAATCAAGGTCCCCTATCAGTTTGTGCCAGTTTCTCATAGTAGGATGTATCATTACACAGACACGTAAAACTAAACTAGGCCACACCGTCCCATTGGGAGTAATTCTGTTATAGACACCAAATAAATCTCCTTATGACTAGGTGGGCTGCTGTTATTCTGTCATAAAATTATTACAGAGCACAGGAATGGTAGACCACCTGTTCATGCTTCTTTTTTTTTTTACAGTTCCATAGTATTGCTGATTCCTTCATTTCACTAAACCCTGAAAGGACAAGGGCAATCAATAAGCTATTCTATTATCTATTTTTCCTTTTTTTCTTTTTTTTTTTTTTTTCCTCCCCCTTTTCCTTTTAAGCAGATGGTATCAAGGAAGCTCTCCCCACATGGACACAAAGATTCAAAGCCATTCTTGTGAGGTACTTGGGCTTCAGCCCCTCCCTTTTTTTCTGGGCTTCTCTTTCTATTAGAGTGACATACTCTCACCCTCATCCATTTCATTGTTGTGAGTGACCAGAGGAAAAGCTGCAGCCAGAGTCTCCTTTAAACAAGACACAAATGATTCTGTATTACTCATGCCTATTTCCTGAGGAGCAGACATTTTCAAGTGGGTATGTGTGTGAGGGGAAAGAGCAGCAGGGAGGGTGTTTATTTTTGTTTGACTCTTTATGGAGGATGGAAAGAAATGCTGGACTTTTACTGGTTTGAGCTTTCAATTAGCTTTTGGTCAGATCCCAAACCCACAGGGCTGAAATGCAACAAACAGTAATAGGAAATGCAAATTAGGACAAGAAATGAAAATTAAATCCTGATCAGTGATTCTGCTATCCCATGCTAATGCCAGATGCAGCAACCAAATGCTTGTGTCCCAACAGCCTCATCATCATCTGCTTGATGTTGTATGACTCGTTTGCAGTAAATATAAAATAAAACCAATCTTATATTTTAGGTAAGTAGTAGACACTTGCTATTTTTTTTGATAGCTACAAGTCTTCCTGCTCTAGCACTCCTGTCTCATGTAATAAAAGCTATTTAAAATAATGACTTCTATCACTGTGTAAGTTTCAAGTATATATCTTGGTTTGGAGAGTGACACTGAACATAAGACATGTGAGCGATCTATCATTCCTGCCTAAATCAGTGCTGGAACTAGTATTAGGACCAGGTTTGATGAGTACAGCAGTGTTCCTGATTAAGCCTATAGTACTTTAAGGTTTCAAATTTAAAGCTCTATATAAAAATACAAAAGATGGTTTGAAGCCAAGCAGTGATTGCTTGCATAATTGTGGTATAAAGAAGCCTTGAATGGGAACCTCATTTGGGCTTTGGGATGATACCACAGTAAATAATATAATCTTAAAAAAGAGCATAGAGCCACTATTCAAAGATTCCTTTTTTCCCTCTGAAGTTAGAGGAAAGTGCTATTTTAAAGTTCACATCTGAGCAGCTAATTTACTATTTTATCCACTTATGGGCCAGCTCCGCTGGCTCACATGAATAACTTTGCTCACACAGAAAGTCCCACTGACTTCAGTAAGGACAAGATCACACCCTAGGCTTTACTACAGTACAGAACTCTGTGCTGAAGCAGCCCTGTCAGAGGCCAAATGCTGTAATGATTTGCACGCATGAGTTATGCATAAAGATAAGCATATGTGTAAGCCTTTGTGGGACTGACCCCAAATTTCTCAGGTTTTCCTCAGTAAAGATTGTACTTTGCCAAAGCCGACAGGGCTGTATTATTCCATTTTTGGAATTCTACTCGCTTTCACCCTCCGTATAACTGTTAACATACACACAGCTTTTTTTCCTAGGCCATGTCAGGAAATCTCAATAATGCATTATGAGTGCAAAAGTACAGCACACATCAGTATCAGATTCATTGTTGAAATGGCTGATTCACCTTTCTTAGTATTTTAAATAGTTTTATTTGGACTATTATTATCTGCAATGCACACTGTTTCCACATAGTATTTGGAAAGGAGAGTGTTTTCAAGTATTGTTTTGGTCACCTCTCATAACTCATCTTTAAATAGGGGGAACTTTCATGGTATTTTTTTTTGTGAGGGACTTGCATGCTAACAAGGTGCACCCAAGGCATTAGATCCTTCCAGATGAGAAGTGTTGACATCTGTAGTGAATTAGCAATCAAAGTGCTGACTGCAAACAGGGAAGTCCAAACTCAGGTGGTTTGGACATGGCCCTGGCTACCACACGGTCCTGAAAGATTGCCAAAGATGGTTTTCAGAACTAAATGTCAAGGAAATGACTCACAGTCAAGCCTTACTGTTGCTGTCCAGGCTGTGTATGTGTGTGTGTATACATATATATTTCATTTGCAAGGAGAAACTGATATTTAAAAAGTGGATGAGAACCAAAAACACTGGCATATACTTCTATAGACATTGCTGGAGCCATGACTTTGGAAGGGACTAGCTACAGCGTAAACATTTTGTTGTTTTAATTAGCTGGGGTTTCCAAAAAGTAAAAGAGAAAATAACTGAGGTAAACCAGTATTTAATTATAATAGTGCAAGGACATCTAGCTGTGTGATTTACACATACACACACACACAGGTACATGTACACAAATACTCAGGTTCACTTTCAAGTCCATGTCTAGGGAAGCAGAATGGGTCACAACA